AATTCTTTTATTTTCAACTTTAGTTTTTGATACTTATATGAATTATACTAAAACATGCAAGAATTGATATAAAGAGAATTTTAGAAATTATAAAAATAAAATTCTATATTAATAAATATTTTTAAATAATAATAGTAATTACTTATATAGACTTTTGGAATTAAAAAATAAATTTAGAAACCATTGCAAAGAAGCAAACAATGTGTATTATGGTTAATGCCATCTTGTTTCTATTAAATTCCATAATCCATATAATATTGTAGTTTAAACTATACAGTTCAATAGTTGATTGATTAATGCAAAGATCTTAAAAGAGTATTAACTGAAGAATAAAAAAATGATGTATTTTAGATATCTAGAAGCTAAGAAAAAAATTAAAATAAAATAAAAAAATTAGCAAATTATTTATTTAATATTTGACCTTGAAGAATATATTTATGAGAAAGAAGATAGATATATTACCAAAGCATCAACTAACTAATTATGCACTTAAAATTATTAAAAGGAATAAAATTTTTAAAATAAAAAATTACTACTTATTGAATATTATATTTATAAAATTATAAGAATTTTTTTTAAAAACCTTAAAATTTTTGAATTAATAATTAAAGTTAGAAGTAAGAGAATTTATTCTATTTATTGTGTAAAAATATGAAATATTAAATATGCATACTGATTATTTGGATCTAATATATATATATATATATATATATATATATATATATAATTATAATTTTAATTATTAAGATCATTAAATTTAAAATTTAAAAAAACTAAAATCAAGACAAACTAAGACTCCTGCAAAGATTGGCCTAAAAAGGGCTAAAAGCCTTGTTAAAATTAAGTAAAAATAACCAATTTATATAATTATAAAATGCATGCACATTTTGAAAAAAATGCATATTAAGTAATAATTTTTTCTATTACCTACTATTAAATTTTAACAATGCCACAAGATGTTACTCTTGGATATTAATTAGGTTATGAAGTGGATAAAAAATAAATTAAAAATCAAGAATTTAAGACCTTTATATATTTTACATATAAATTTTTTAAAAATAAATTATTCTTTTTTTATTTCAATCAAATTAAAAAAAAAAAAAAAAAAAAAAAAAAAACCAAGAAGAATTAAAGAAATTTTAAAAAAATGCCCTTGCAATTTGCTGAAATATCAAGAATACCCATGTATTCTTATAATCGCAAAACTGCCCCTCATACCCGTGATAATATCTAATCTACTCTGACCCTGATAACTTCTCATTCAGAATCCACATTTAGTGCAAACTAGGCACAAAGTGTGTGTTGTGTATACTTCAGCACGGTATTGAGCTTGTTTTCTCATATGGTCCTAAATTCTTTGCCTACAGTACCACTGCTCAATGCTTGCCATGCCTGCTACTCATTCCTCATTGCTTGCTATGTCTGCTACTTGCTGATAACCTAGTTTCCCACCATTCAATGCAATGAAGCATGTGATTTTAGTGTAACAAAATTTTATAACAATGCAACATAGAATAGGATCACAGCCAACTACAACAACAAATAATGATGATTCAATGTTTGAAATGTAATAAGGTTGTAATTAATGAATTATTTTATTTATTTATTTATACATTAAAATATCACTTCTTTTTCTCTTAAACGTATTTCAAGAGTATATATATATATATATATATATATATATTTTTTAAAATCTAATATGATATATCATCTTGAACTCATACTATATACAATAAAACAGTATATGAATTTCAAAACCTCATTCGATATATGAATATAATGTTTATGATATAATAGCATAGACATTTGAACTCAGAAATTATATATCAAATTGATAGAAGTACAATAGTTTTTTAGAAAAACAAAAACGGATAAAAGTTTCAATGGTATCTTAATAATAAATCTTCAATAAAAAATACTTTATTTTATTAAAAGTATTGTATAGAAATTTTTAAAAACATTTATTAATATTGATCATGAAAAAATAATATTTAATATTTTTTTATGAAAATAAATTTATAAATATTATATTTTGGATATTTGGTTCTAAAAAAATAAAGTCTAGCTTAAAATTATCTTATAATCAAAAAAATATATATGCCTAAAAACATTCTTCTTTTATAATCTTAATCCTTCTTGTAGTTACAAATTGATTGTGCATGAAGTATTGAGAATTGTATATTGGTATTAATATTGTATACTAGTATGCTTTTCCATTGCAACAATCAATATGATTTACTTGTTTACTTCCATGAAAAATCATCAAAATTGACATATATACTATAATATTAAACAAGCTATATTCATGTAATAACTTTATATATTTTTCAAAAACAAATCTCGGGATTCAACCCATCCAATTTGCCACCCATATTCAAATATATGTATATAAATAAATAGCTAAATTGTCAATATTAATTCTACTTGAACTCTAATAAGAAGAATATGTTTTGTATTGTCACAATGGACACACTTTCAAATTATTGGTTTGAAGTACGAGTTTTATCCCATTTATTTTTAATCACATGAAAAGAACATGAACAAAAAGAATGAAGAACTGGTGGCACTGGATGTCCACTACATATAGTCAAAACATGAATATTAAAGACAAATGTGCGAGTCCAATAGTATTGACAGTGCTCCTTCAAAGCTCATATTTCATGACTTTGTTGCAGACAGTTCACGAGTAGCAACTCTGTTGAGCTTCAATGCAAGAACTCCATTTGAAAACACCCTAAAATCTAGATGATTTTACACAACAATTTGCAACAAACTGACGCACAAATCAGGTCCATCAAGGGTGATTTTTTGCCAATTGGTTTGCTTCTACATGAGCTCACATGAAACCTTGTTACATTTCAGACATTGAATCGTCAACATCTGTAATTGGCTGTGATCTTGTTCTTTGTTGCATTGCTGTAGAGTTTTGTTACACTAAAATTGCATGCTTCATTGAATTGATTGGTAGGAAACCAAGTTGTCAGCGAGCAGCGAGCTTTAGGCCCAGTTTGCATTAAATCTGGACTCTGAATAAGAGGTTATCAAGGTTGGGGGTAGGTTAGATATTATCAGGGGTATGAGGGGCAGAATTGCAATTATTAAGAATAGAGTAATAGAGTTTGATATTTCAGCAAACTGCAGGGGCATTTTTGAAATTTTTCCTTTTTAACTAGAATCTTAAAATAAGTAAATATGGACGAATTTTATTTTTTTCCATTCATAATCTAATCAGCCATCAAGTCAAAAAAAAAAAAAAAAAAACTGCATTTAGCATATGTAGAATACTTAGTGTATACAATGTTTTAAAAAAAAATTATATGTATTTTAATATAATTTTTTTCTTAATTTTAAAGTATTTTGGAAAATAAATCTAAGTTATATATATAATAATAAATAAATAAATACTTAGATTTTGTTTCACAATTTAAGACCAATAGTTATATAGTATTAGTGCATAATTAAATAGTGTAGCTAGACTAAAGATTTTTAAAACTTAAATTTGTAAGATAATAAATTGTGAGTTTATTTAATCTCACAATGCTTAGAAATGTCAACCTAGCACTTTGTACTTATTTTAACTACAACTTGTAGGAATTAAATATGTCTCAAATGTTGCTTTTTAATTCTAAGGAATTTTAAAATATTTGAAATCTTTATGTGAGGGTTTGTGTTGACAAAATATCTAAATTTTGTTTTTTCCTAGTTATTTGCAAGAAAAATTAGACAATTTTAGCAAAAACCTAAGGGTTGTAAAATAATTACTTAAAAAAAACTCTAATGAGACAAATGATGAAACAAAATTAAGAAAATAAACTCTCTTATTTTACAAATTATTACGTAAATATGTAAGATGAAATAATCTTGAGTACAAATAGATAGATCTAATTTTAATATAAGATATGATTCTATGTAAATTTATTGAACTATCAAAATATTCAGCAAGTAGAACATATAACTAATTAAAAAAAAATGGAAAAAAAAGTAAACAAAACAAATCAAAAGAATGAATTTAAAGCAAAATAAGTGTTGTTTTCTTGTACTATTTTAATCTTTATTTGATTGTGTATTCTGCAGATGAATAAATAACTGGGATTGAAATAGATGGACATTTCATTTCTGATATAATAAACGTCTCTTAAATATCCAATATTTAAAATAAAATAAAATTCACAAACAATAAAATCAAATAAAAAACAAACAAACAACTTATTTAGTATTTTGTCAACAAATTTATCTTACATCCTAAACACCAACCAACGCTTAATCTGCCTGGAACAAAAGAATAATCTCCTTGACTCTTCGCAATAAACTAAAATTACTGTAATTTGACCAACATTTTATAATACTGATCATTGGAACACATATTAACGAAACCACAAGAATGTTTTTCAAGCATTGACCACAAGAGTTTCTGTGCATAGAAAAATATGGTTGGAACTCAGTTTCTTTCCCGACATACACTCTAAACCAAAATCCACCCAGCCTTAAAAAATCATATATACCATCACAATGTTCAATGAATAGTGTCTTTAATCTCTAGAATGATTTATACAAATTCAGTTCTTCCAATTCTAAAGCCTTTGCAACAGCAACCGTCAGTTATGACTTTTTTTGTTATCATGCATAGAACCACGACTAAAAAAGTAGAAGAAATGGCGGTTCAAGGTCGAAAATAAAACTTAATCTCTGAAGTGTCACTCTTGACATCAGTTCTGGCATGTGTTTGATTGCAACGTACATGGCTGGAGGAATACATCTAGATTCAGAAACTGAGGGTTTCGCATTCGTGTTCATCTCTCTGCATCCTCCTAGGTATGGTTTAATCTTTTGATCCTCAATGAATTGCTAATCACAATGCCGTGATTGCTACTATTTCACAACAAATTGAGGTGCCTTACTGTAGAAAACCAGGCGTGATAAAATGGTCAAATTGAATACCATGCTTACGTACCGCATAGGTCTACAATCAAAGAGCTATTAAATTATTCATTAGAGCACCGTTTCCGTTGTGAGAAAGGAAGAATGTTAACAAAAGAACTACATAATCAGCTGGGGCATGAAGTACGTACACGGTTTCAAAGTAACATGGCAATATCGGTACTAACTGAAATCGAGGTACAGAAAATAGCTAGTCGCCTTCACCAAGTTCAAATGTGACTAGATCCCCAGAAGTAACACAAAGCATTATAAAAAAAACCGGGTTATAAAGAACACCTTCACATTATCGACAAAATTCCAAGACCTACAAGATGCCCGCTCAGGTGGATCCACATCCTGCAGATGCCATTACAATTCAACAAGAACATCAATCCATTTTGACTATACCTTCACGAGATCTGTACCACGTCAATCTACGTTAGGCTGAGGAGTGAGACGAATGTAGCTCTTTCCAGAAGGCACTTCCACTGTCTCGAAACCCTTCGGGAACTTCGCCGTAGCGGCATCGTTAGAGAGGGACGGCACAACCATACACTTGTCTCCCTGATTCCAGTTCACAGGAGTCGCAACGCTGTAATTCGCAGTGAGCTGAAGCGAGTCGATCACACGCAAAACCTCATTGAAGTTCCGCCCGGTGGTGGCAGGGTACAAGATCGACAGCTTCAGCTTCTTGTCAGGACCGAAAACATACACTGCCCTCGCCGTCAACGGAATGCCCTTGGCATCAATTTCATCAGGGTCCAGCATCCCAAACTTCACAGCGAGCTCCCGCGTCGGATCGGCCAAGATAGGGTAGCTTACTTTCGCCCCTGGGGTGAAGCTCTCAATGTCCGCAATCCAACCCTTGTGCGACTCCACATCGTTGCACGATAACGCGATCACCTTAACCCCCCGCTTCTCAAACTCCGGCAAAAACTTCCCGACGGCTCCGAGCTCGGTAGTGCAAACAGGAGTGAAGTCGTTCGGGTGGGAGAAGAGAATTGCCCACGAACCAGTAATGTACTGGTGGAAATCGATCTTGCCGTGAGTGGAATCGGCCACGAACGAAGGCGCTGCATCGCCAAGCTTCAAAGCCATTACCGCGGTTTTTGAAAAGCTTCCTCAACGACAAAATCGATCAATCGACCAAAGGTGCAAAGCTCAAAGTTGCACTGCAGCAGCAAAGGAAGCAAACTGATAAACTCAGGAAATCACACAGACCACATTGTGAACTTCGATGTCCAATTACCACGGGCACGAGTCTCCGCACATTCGTGGTTACCTGTGACCGGGGAGAACGTGCGGTGTCCGGCAGTCCATGATGTTCCCACGTTCTCAATCCCGTTCGCACGTGCAAGAACAAGTTCCCTTCGCCGTATGGTGTGTCTGACTCGATGGGACTCCATGCTCCAGATATTTTCGAACCAGCCAAAGAAATGAATGTTTGATGAATGTATTTTGGTCTTCGTCCATTGATGGATGGGACCTGTTCGACGATTCCGGAGAGGAATGTGGCAGATTCGGGAGCAGAATGTGCCTGGAGGAGAATGGGGGTATCAGGGGGGGATGAACTTGGTCTTCTTCATGTGCCGAAGAAAATGTGGGGTTATATTCGAAGTGACTTAAAAGGAAAGTTTGAACATGTCCGTTTATACGATACGAATTTTTTGATAATACAAAATAATGTTTGACAAGTTTGTAACAGTTTACTTTAGACAAGTAAATCTTATAATATTTACGATAAATGTTATTTTCACACATGCCATTTGCATACATTGATAATAGGAAATAACTACATATATATATATATATATATATTCAAAAGTAGGCTTCTGGGTATTGTAGATTACATGCTCGCAATTGTTTTTAATGTATGGACAAGTGGAATTGAGAGATTTATGAGTTTGAAACTCCAATTAGATCATTTTTATTATTTTATAATATTTTGAACTACAATAGCTTTAATGAAGTGTGCATTGTTTGATGTGGTAAGATGAAAGAATCTACTTTAATTTTTGAATAATATATAGAAAAAATAATCTTTTCTCTAATCATTATATTATTTTAATATTTTAATTATTAATATTTCACAAATGCTTTAAATAGATTAAAAAGTTATGAAATCTTGGCATTTTAATGCATATGTTTTTACTTTGTTTTTATAACGTTTATTGGATCTAAATTGCTTGAGTAATTTAAACTAACAACCATAGTTTATAGTGTTTTTTTTTTTTTTTTTTTTTTTAATAATATTTTCTGTCAAATTTTTATTTATAAGAAATATAATCACTGTTATCATATCATAAGTATAAGTTGTCATTAGTAGTAGAAATAAATATAAAAACTAATCAAAAAATTAATGATCTTTTCATTAGATTCAATGATATTTAAGTATTGTAATTTGCATTACATGGCATATTTAAATATTGTACATATTTCTAAATAAAAATAAAAATAAAATTTATTGGAATTATTTTTTTCTATTTTAATATCTAAAAAAATACCAATTATGATATTTTTCTGTTATAATATGTATATGACATGTAAAAATCTATACAAGTTTTTTTTTGAGTTGGTGAAGTATTTGATGTGTCATAATTGACATTTCCACTTGCATATTAGTGTGGTTTTAAAGAAAGAAGTGGAATTTATTTTATACCTTACAAATACATAATAGAATCTTATTATTAGATATTTTATAACCTTCTATTATCTTTTTATAAGATTATTTTAATTTTATTATTGTATAAAAAAATAGTTTTAAATATTAGTAATTTTGAGTTTGATTTTTAAAAATATTTTCTGGTGATATAGACCAAATTATGGTTGCAAAATTACTTTTGTTTGAAATAATCCATCAAAGTCTTGCAAAAAAAAACATCAAAATTCACATTAAAAATATATTCGTAGACCTCTTTAATACTAATTCTTATAATATTACTAATAAACACACTTATAAAATCCCCAGACTGCCCATCATAGCCTACAATAACAATAACAAAGGGTGATTGTGTAAATTCTTTTTCTAAAGCCAGAGCCACTTGTATAACTGGTTTTATTGATTTTATGAAAAGAAAAGAAAAAAAAAGTGCTGTTGGATATTTTCCAACAATCATTGATGGTCCTTTCATCATTGATTCTGCAAGACTTCATCCAACTTAGAGACTTGCATATGAATGTGCATGTAGATTTTCATTTGGGAAATATAGTCTTTTGTCCCCTTGTCCCTACCCGCCACTTTAATGTAGTAAGTGGAGGTAGAAAGATTTAGTGTGTAAAGAAACTCTATTTTTGTTTCATTTCAAACACTAAAAAAAACTAGAAATGTGAAGAACATTCAAAAACCAGTGCACCTTTCTGCCAGCAGTAAGAATGATGAGAGTTGCCTGTTCTGCAGGATGTTTGCTGCGAGATACTGGTGCTTCGAGAAAGTCTTCACCTTTACTTGCGGTAGCCTGTTAATGGAGTAAATCAAATATCTAAGCTTAGCTCATGAGAGGAGTAGTAACCTCACAAAGATGATAGTTATACTACATTTCTAATACATTATTCCTTGTACTTCCAACGCTGGCTTCAAGATGAATGAGAAAATGTGTAAAATACCGTTAAAAACCAAGTAATTCCAGGTCTTCATAACACAATGCACGTATCACTTCGAATTAGCAATGTCATGTACTAAGGGTCTATATTCTTACCGGACAAGGTGAGAGGCCGCAAGTTTGAATCATTTGATAGGCAGAAATTGAGAGGCCTCTAGATTTCAGCCAATCGAAAGTTTTAAAACTTGTATCCTCTCACCTTCACCTCCTCCAAGTATAAAGACCTCCAAAATCTTTCAATGAAGTTAAGAAAGGAATTTTCAGAAGGATTACAGAAATGTCACCTAAGACAAACCTAATGAACTTCGATTCAGGGGATAGTACGAAGAGCAGAAAGACCTATTTACCGAAAATGCCACAGGAGATTAGCCAAAATAGTTTTGGAGATCGGGCACTTCCTACCACATCTGCTGGCAAGATTCCAAACGCAGATCCCTCATTTGAAATCTCCTCATCCTGAATCCACACGGTTATATTCTCATCAGTGCACATGTGTTCAATAAATGTTCATGAATTGGTGATCAGTAAAACAAACACGAATTATAAAGTTTGTATGAGATTTTCCAGTTGCAGGAAATTTTCGAGGTTTACAGAAAGAAGTATTGTTGGAGGGTTGCATAGTGAGCTAACCATCAGTCAAAACTAAGGATAAGCACTCCCGAAAGTAATTATTATTAGCGGAGTTCGGACATTATACGAAACCTTAGTAAGTGGAGAAGACTCTTCTGAAAGTCGGTCCAATACACAATAGACAATTTTTTTAATACCTTAATTGTTCACACCGCATTACGCAATCCATGTCGAAAAGATGCATCGACAAATTCCCATAGCACTTAGATGTACATGGTCTAAGTTCTGCGCCGCCTTCCTCTCTAGAATTACACGATGCGGATACACACCATCCAACGAGAAGGAAACATACATCAATAATGCGAGAATAGGAAACCTCGCGCACATTGCCTAGGGTCCGATTTTGCACCCCGCTGATCCCAATCTCGTCTAATTTCTCTCTTCACCTCCCTTAAACTTCAGGCCTCCAATTCGCATCACTATGGCCCCGGAACGCGGCGGAAATTGTTGTTAGGAATGTATAATTTGTTTCAGAAACGGAAATTCTAGATCAGAGAAAGATCCAAATCGTGGAACAAGAAGAAAAATCGAGTTAGTCTCGAGGTAAAGCTTCGAGAGGGTTACAAGATAGAGTTCTCGGTGGCGGCTTCTCGGGATGCGTCATTCGCTGCTGCTCGCCGTGCACTGGATTTAGTAAACATCGCTACCTAGATGATACAACACTTCGGGTCAACTAGTACTTTTGATCCTAGAGCCACATCTTAATACAAAAGGGCCACATAATAGTTTGCAAGTTACAAATTTTCTTTTTAAACATTATAATTATTAGACTTTTTTGGAACTTCATTTATGGGTGGTGTGATTTTTAAGCCATCACTATTGTCGAATGCTTGCAAGCATGGTAGAATGTCATGCCTCACACAACTTAGACAATCTTTGGAACTTGCAACATTGTTGGTACTAAAATTAGGTGTGTGATTGTGAATGTTGGAATGACAATTAGTAAGAGTAGTAGTTTTTATTTGGATATTAATTTTGGATTTCAAGATAAAATAATAGACATGCATTTTAGATTTAGCCTGGGTTAGGGTTAAAATGGTCATTTATGTTAAGAATATCAAAGTAAGACTAGCATAAAAAGAGGCAATAATTCTTTCATGGTCAAAATACAAATACAAAAAACCTACAAAAGTATTTGAGTTCAAAAGGACAACAACAACAATCAACAACATTGGGAGCACTTCAATATAGAAACAACCTCAATCCAACAAGACATGCAATATGACAATTGTTGCCATAAGGTTTTGCTAATAATTGTGTAGGTTTCTTGATATACTTAGAATCTATGATAGTAGAAGTACACATTTTTTTTGGGTAGGTGCTAAGATTAAATCTTTATCAAATTACATTGCTAATGTTTTTATTTTTTTGAAAACTACTCCCTCTTATTAGTCTTGATGTATAGTTAATTCAATTGTACCTTTTTTTTTAAGAGAATGGAACAACCATAATTGAAGTTTTTAATAATTTTTAATACTAAAGTATTTTTTCTTCTTCTCCTTTTTTAATAAATTATTTATATTCAAAGGTAAGAAAAATAATTTGGAATCTTTTTTCCTATCATCTTTTCAAAATATTTAAAGATTTTGTTGATATAATTAACTTAGAAGTAATTCAAAGTTTATTTTTTAAAAGAATTTTGAAAAAAATCATAGTATTACTATTCATATTAGTAAAAAATAAATCTGAAACTAAAAATTATTAAAAAATTAAGGATTTATTACATTACTTAATTCCATTTATAAATTACATACTAAGACTTTATTGAAAACACTCCAAAAATTTCTATTAGAAATTATTAATTTAGACTATTTTTTTTTTCTATGGTATATTCTACATAATATTATAGTAATCTAAAAATTTATATATTGAGCCAAGTCTTCAAGTTAATTATTTTGATTTTAAAAATAGATTTTGTACAAGCACATAATAAGATATTACTCAATTTTTTTAGTCAATATTAAGGGCTAAAATTCCAAATAAGAACAAAAAAGATAATATTTTATTTTTTGGCACTATTGTGGATAGAAATTTTCAATCTCATGCATATTTTTGGCAAGCTAGAACCAACATTATAGCTTACACAAGCAAATTAGTGTGTTAAAAAATAAGCTAGATTTATTTCTGTATTTTCTTTATTTATTTTTTCATTTTAATCTCTATAGATTTTATTTTATTTTTATTTTTGGATAATTGGATTTTTTCATAAAATTTCAGGTTTTAATTAATATTTTTTCTTAAAACTATATTCTCTTTATGCAAAGATTGGCCAATTTTTTTAAATTACTAATAATTGTAAGACCCAAAGTACTACTAAAATAGATTGTACCAACAATCAAATCTCAAAAAATTTCATATTATGGATTTTAAAAAATAAAATATTTTAATGTAAAATTAATTTATCTAAAACATGTCTAGGATTCTTAATGTTAAAAAATGATAAATTTAAGATTATGGTTTCATAGACTTACAGAAGATATCATAATTAAATAATAATATTATTTGTCCTAGGGGTGAGGTATCTTCATATATTTTGTAATTTGTTCAGAATCTATGTTTTTTTAAGTAAAATTTTTATCAAAATTGTAGGCATTATTATTATTTTAGATTACTACATTAAGGTGTAATGATTAGAATTATATGTGGCAATGTAGAAGTTTGTGGTGGCTAAACTTAACATTAAAGTTGGAGTACTAAAAAATATGTAAGATGTTAAAAAATAAATTATTCAATAATTTTTGGCCATGTGAACTTAGATAATAGTATTGCAGTAATAAATATTACAAGATTGCATTCCAAAATGAACACCATTAGACACTAATATAATTATTCATAAGTAATTTTTATTTATTATTTATTATAATAATATTATTAAAAATTTAATTAATTATATTTATTAATTTAATAAAGGTGGATTGATAGAAAATATATACCTATTATACTATAATTTAATTTTTTCTACTTTTGTAGTACCTCTCCTCTTCCTCCTTCCTCACATATCTTCTCATCTTCTATATATATATATATATATATATTTTACTTTTATATTTTTTTGGTTTTTATTCTAATATATATATATATATATATATATATATATGTATATTTAATATACTGAAATTTACAAAATAATCTAAGACCTCTCATATTATTATAAAACTACCACAATAGTTGTAATTAAAAGCCTTATTGAACATAATGTTGCAAAAAACATTGTCAAATAAGAATTCGATGTAATTTTTAAAATTCAATAAAAACTATTATATATGTTAATTTATTTATTACTTATTTTCCAAAAAAATAACCAATAAAATAATAATATAAATTTGATAGTATGAATAATAATAATATATTTTTTAAAAAAATGTGTTTTTAAATGCAATGGATCACATGTATTCTCATAATACTTGTATTGTTAATTTTGACATTTGTTGTTTTAAGTGGTTGTTGTATACATGGTTTTATCATAGATGAATATTTGTAGACACAAAAGACATCATGCAAAAGCTAACCATGATTTCAAGTTATTCAAAACGTAAACAACTCGATGAGCACTAGTCGTTTTGGTGCGGGTATGCGTCCTATTACATAAATGATCTTGTGGATAGACTACATTTTAATTTTAAGTTACAATGAAACATGAACAGTTTCTGTGCTGAGCATCGAGTTTTGCTTTTCGTAGCTAGTTCATTTCTTCGAGCAGAGTCAGACATCTGACTTCAGTTGACAAAAGAACCAGATCCGCCAATACTGAAAATCTACCCGTGGACAGACAAACCGCAGCACCACACATAAAAAAATCTCGGTTTAAAACATGCTCGATTTCCTGCATCGTTTCCCCCTAATACGGTCTCGATAGAGATATTGCAGTTTCAATTCTAAGATCGGAACTAGTATTAGGACTTGTACTAGATCCATGGTTAACCCCCACTGTCACCTAGCATCTGCACTGCAAGCATATACCTATTTCTAGACATGCTGCTCTCGAGACGCTTTGCTTACGCATGTGATGTTTAGCACAGGGGAGATAATTTGGTGGATAAGAGAAGCGGTTTCGAATAATGACAAATTCTACACGAGGCATGTTCGGCTTTCGTGACTTTAAGCTACTGAGACCACGCTTACTAGCGATCCAAATAGAGGCTAAACAAGGAGGGGCAGTGATTCGTCACGAAAGACAAAACTTCTTCAAACAATCGGCAAAGCACGACAACGGGGTCCGTGAGGGGTATGATGATACAAAAGAGCGGTGGACGAAGCAACTCAGCATGCTCACTAGTGATCGAATTAAGCTTGTTCAGCTTCGAGGTGCTGAGACCACGCTTACTTGTAATTCAAATATAAGCTGAATACGGAGGGGGAGTGTTTCATCACTACAGTGAAAACATCTTCACACAACCGGCAAAGCACGGCAACGAGGTCTGCGAGAGATACCGATGAAACGAAATTATCAATCGACAATGAAGCTCAACAACATGGGTGTCGTCGAGGTCTGTGAGGGATATCGATGATACAAGACAGCGGTGGACGATGTAGCTCAACAGAACGGGGCATCGATACCACATCCAAGAAGGGTTCACAAAGAACAAATCTGATACGACACAATACACTAACCGAAAACAGAAATTGAAGTAGATAGGAGAGGAGAGCGATGGGGATCCGTGAATTCCGGTGAGAGAGGGAGCAGCTTGTCTAGCTATGTTGCAAATGCAGTTTTTCATGTTTGCCATTAGCTACGCCAAAGCAGTGCGGTTGGGCACATGAACAGCTCGTAACAGCGAGAGGGGGAGCGTTCCAACGGCCACAACGATGAACATATGGTCAAAGAGCATAATTCGGATTTGGTAATGTCACTCAAGGCACATGGTGCTCAAAAGACGATCAACCCAACCATGCCCAAGGAAATGGAGTTTCATTCAACCATTTCCTTGGGCATAGCTTAGCCAAGAATTATGGAGGTTTTTTATGTGCAAAAAGATTCATGTGTCAAAGGAGGTGGTAATAGAAGAAGAACATTTCATGTATTAAAGGAGGTGGTAATAGAAGAAGAACATTACATCAATGAACATGTCATTGTGGTATGCTTCATTGAAAACCGACCTAACCAAATTGCATTTGCAAGTTGAACTCAAAAGCAAAATCACCTCTAGCAACAAAATTGGTTAGAGATTTTTCTATTTAAGTACACCAAGAAGTTGAACAACAAATCCTAATCCTCAAATCATATCAAGATATTGGCTTCTTCTATATTTTTCAACCATGGACTCTACAATTCTATTCTAAAAATAATAAAGGAATGTTGATTCTTACTTTAATTTCATTCAAGAATTTGCCTTGCCAATTTAATGTTGTAGCACTAGAAATTGTAAGAACTCTTGGAAAATTAATTGAAGCAAATATAAATAACATCATCTTCTTTAAATCACATTTTTGTGTTGTCTTTGACAATAGCCATAGGTGAAAGGCATATATAAAAATAAAAGATAGGAAGTTTGAAAAAATCACAATAATGACAATAGATTATAGAAATTTATCAATTTGATGTCACATCTACCTAGAGATAGACCATTAAGTCAAAGACTATCCATACAAAAGAATAATATGTCCAAGAAACTAAAGCAATAGTATTTCAAGATATAATAATGCAAAATGCTATGATTTA